ATCAACAATCGCGCGCTTGTTGTAAGGGTTTACGTACAGGTTACCAACGAGAATGCTGTAATAAGCCGATAAGTGCCTTGATACATATGCAAAGTTGATTCATGTTATTTTACCATCACTACCTCAAGATTCAACATTCCTGAGACGAACAAAGGAGGTAACAAACGAAGTCTTCCAAACCGAAGATATCTTCATCGTCCGCCGGATGTAACCCGATCACCTGTAGAGGAATGGCGCAAGCGGCATGATGAAAAGCGCAGTGAGCTCCCTGAGCGTTCAGCAGGATGACGCGGCAATTGCTGAAAATTATCACTGGAAAATCAATGCCTTCCATTTCGCTGCAGTTTGCCATCCACCTTTTCTGAAATATCTGATCGTCAAAATATTTCCAAGGTTCGCCACAGAAAGGATCAAGAACGAATCAATAGGAAATCCAGGGATTGGTAGGTGCAGCAACTGAATGTGCCCGGCGTTGACGGGGTATTCTAGAGAGCGGCTGAACGAACCAAGAGCACGAACGAGAGTCAGGTTAAACTCGATAAAAAAGTCAGGACAGAAAAGTTCAAAACAAAATTAGGTACTTCCAACAAAGCTACGAAAACCATAAGTCCTAATGCATCTAAACTGCATACAAAAACAGCAACCCTCTCTATCGCAGCCATGGACCATTCCCATCTGCCATCTATCAAAACACAAGTCACAGAAAGAATAACACGAAACAGTCTGTCATCTACGTGAGGGAGCGGTAAGGCCTCATTCGTTGGTCGCAACGAAAGAAATTCAGACGGTGCATAATGGATTACCAGAAAAACGTCGTCCGTGATCTACTCTTGCGGAAGCTTCTAGAAAGAAAGGCAAAACTAAAACTATTTGTGCAGCTGACTTCCTGAAGACCTCAGGGAGAGTCAAGAATAAGTGAATGAAATGCCTCGACAGTCTCTGCTCCAGACTAGTAATATTTTGCCGAAGCTCAGACAATAACACAGGATGGAAGACATTCGAGATATGGTCTAGCGCTGCTGCCCTAGCAACCGTCAAAATTCACTGACAGTGTCTTCCGCGACCCATGAATCGCCAACAGTGCCGACATGTAGTGAAAAAACAGCTGACATTCGTACATTATGCAGTTCACTGTCGAACAAAATAAGTAAATGACGTTTACCGTTCTTGCTGCACAGTGTATACTCAAAATTCTGCATTACCTGTAACACATGTGACAAAACGATTCCAGGCTTGAAACGCTGAAGCTGTCCAACTGCTGACCGTACAGTCGCAGTAAAAACGTCAACACTAGAAACCTTTTCAAGACTTAGTACACCTCAGTAGATAGGCACATACCTGCTTTCGGCAGTTAGGTACTGTATCGAAGGGAACGGTCCGATTTCGACGACCATCATCTCCGGTTCGTTCGGCCTGCCAAACGATTTGTCGCACGAAGGTTCGGTGGAGAATGCTGAAACAGGCTAAAAACAAAATTCGCGGTAACTTGTGGTTCTGGTTTGATTAACCAAAAACAACATACAATGCATTAAATACGTTCAGAACGAAATGGGTTACAGGCATATTTTCATATCGCTTACATAAGTTCATTGTTCACAAGTGGACCTGAACCCTTTGATATGATTCGCAGCAAAAAATTAGGACAACTGCCATAGAAACAGGAAGCTTCATCAAAGATAATCAATAGTCATTCAATAACTATCAAGATTTGTTAGTAGACGTCTGTTTTGTAACTTTGCAGAACTCTGCAGAGGACAGGAATCGA